CTGTGTAAAGTTGCTTGGGTTAGGAGTTTATTCCTGGATGGAAACACTGCTTCTTTTTATTATTATAATTATTATTATGTTCTGCTACTGCTGTATTTTTTAAAAAAAAACATCTTTTCAATGATGACTTTTCTAAAAAGATTAGTTGCCTGTTTTCGTGGGATGAGATGGAATTCCGAAATGGTGATTTAAACAATTTTGGTTACAAGTGGTACCCAAGCATTCTTGAGAGAAGATGATTAGAGACAACATTTCTCACTTGGCTAAGCATATCTCCTGGAATGATTTAGCTGTTCTTGCTCTCCTGTGATTACGTAACATGAATTTTACACTGCTGTGGGCATTTTGTTGGTAAAAAAAATTGCTTGCACAATGTGGTTTGGATTTTTTTTTCCTTATTTATTTATTTATTATTATTATTTTTTTAAACCAAGGCTCGGTGCTGTGTTGAGTATTAGCTACTGCAAGATAGGGTAAGATTAAAGGCTTGCTGCTCTACAGCATAGGCTGTCTTTATACAAAAGAACCTTTTTACAAAATAGAAGTGCAGCAGCAGCCAATACAATGCCTCTAACAATTGTTTTCCTCAGTTGTGTTTTCCAACCTGAAATTTTGCTAACTGTATGCCTCTAATACCCCAATTTCTTGCCATCAGTATTAAACCTTGTAAATAGGAGAGTTGTATTAGCTAATAAAAAGCCTGCTGGCTTCCTAAGAGGAATCTATCAAGTCTGAGACAGGCGAGTCTGCTGGCTGAGCGCTGCTTCCTCGCTCTCTTATAGACAGACACTGGTCTGTTTAGATGGGGCTAGTCAAAGAACTTATGTGACCTACAGATTTCTGATTTGGGCTCTCTACAGTATATCAGAAATGGGGATGGGTGGAGAAAATGATTGATGGAGGCAATGACATCAATGCAAGCTTAGAAATAATAAAAATTGACTTTTATCTCTAAAGAAAAGGGAAGTAGAAATGCATTTTCAGTGCATCGGAGAAATCCAAGCAAGGATGAATGCATTACTAGACACTTCAGGTTAGTCATCATGCAAGGTTTGAAGTTAGCTGCATGTCAATATTTTCAGAGTATGCTGTATCACCACATGGTGAGATAGAGTTCCATGCACTGGATCAGACCATGGGTTGGTCAGATTTACTGTCCTGCTTTCAGCAATGGGTGATGTCTTGTGCACCGGGGAGGGGAGACGTTCCCAGCCTCCATAGAAAAATACCTGTGAGATTGGGTGCTGCTGTACGTGGAGAGAGGACTTTCATTTCTGGGCCATTGCACGGGTATTAACTGCCAGTACCTTACTGCAGAACATGAACTGTATTTGTGTGTTGTCATCCGTAACTTCGGTTTTCCTTGGCAGTCCCTGTTGTGATACTATTCGTTCACTGAAGTCGTGGTATACTTAAAAAGTGAGTAAATTCAAGTGTTCTGGTGTAGGTGTAGTGGCTGAATTCTGTGTTGTCCAGTTATTAGTAGCTAAACTCCCTTTACTTATCCTTGAGAATACCTCTAATATAATATATTGTTTAAAAAAATCCAGTTTGCATAGTATAGCTCTTGTGTATTGGATCCAACAGAAGGCAGTGTGTGAAGATCCCAGTGCTGGTGTCCTTGCTACGCTCATCGCCCTGCAATTTACAGACCTCTTGTTGTCTCCTTTCCTTCTGAAGAAGGTGCAAAAATACCTGTCTTATCTGTTGTAGACCTGAGCAGGCGAGGAGATCCTCCCTCTCCCGTGGAGGGACTGAGCCTGGGTCTGTCTTGCAGAAGGCATCTGCCCTGGGGGGCAGTCCTTGGTGTGTGGCATTGCAGGGCTCATGCCCGTGCTTTAGAAAAGACTGGTTGTGTCAAAGTCCTTTGTCTCACTCAAAAAAAATCTTTGGTACAAACTAACCAATGTGGAGTGTGAGCCACCAGGGGAAAGGGCTTCACCAAGTGTCAAGTTAAATCTGCCTGGGGTTTTGATCTGGGGAGACAGCAGGAGAAGTGTTAATATGTGTCTTGGTCAGAGAAAATAATGTGACTCCTGATAAAATGCAGGGTAGGCATGGAGTCCTGTGGGTGCTGAGAGTTGAGTACCTGATAAAACCCCAGGGTCAGATGCTGACCCATCCTTCCTTAAATTTTATCAAGCTGCTCCTGGAGCAGTGGCATTAATGAAACATGGATTCCAGTGGCTTTGTGCCTGCAGCTAGATTCATTGGTCTCTAATAAGGTGTAAACATTGATTCAAGATTTTTCTTCAGCTGGAATAGGGCACACACGTACATATTCATGTGCTGAGTATGGAGGAGTAAGCCTTATTTGCTTAGGAAACAAGGGTAAAAAAGAAGTCAATGAAGTAAAAGAAAATTCATGGGGGCAAAAGAAAACATATTCTAAGATCCAGTCAAGTTTCTAGTACCTATACTTATATCCGATCTAACCTTAAAAATACTGGTATCTACTGAGATACTTCTAGTGTCTATTGTTTTCTAATTTTATGATATTATTATTATTTTAACTATCAATAGTTTGCCTTTATGTTTTGTTCCCTCCCAAGTTTCTGTTGGATTTGATCCCTTCAGTGAATGCCTTATCAAGTATTTTGAGACCCGCAGGTATAAAGAAGTATAAAATCCATAGAAGACAACCATTAAATGCTGTGTGTCAGCTGCTGGCTGCAACATATACTGCTGTGTGCTCTGTGTCCTGAATCAGTTACCTGGTGAGAATACACCATCAAGACTAAGTCTGTTGGACGAGGAGGCTTTGCAGCAGGGATATCTGCTTATGGGCTTTGGTCCTCTGGGGAGCACCCGGATGTGCACAGCATCCACGAGTGGGTTTGGGTGTCTGCACTCTCTCATTGCCCATGTTGTGACCATTGGATCTAGATATGTGAGCAAAACTTTGGCGAAATAAATCTTTTTCCAGATCTAGCCAGAGGGTTGGTAATATGGGTTGTTTCCCTGTGGGATGGGAAATTAAGAATTGCTTACACTCCCATCCTCTTCAGCTGCTAGGGTGACTGCTGTGGGGGGAGCTCAGTGGGCTTAGGGGCTGGTGGTGTCTCCCCTTTTCCAAACTGGAGAAGACCCAAGGTGTTGGGGGGACATCAGAACAATGGGATGAGCTCCAGCGAACCCTTTGGTTTCCAGGGGGTTAGGATGTCCCCTGTGTTAGTGTCTGTGCTGTGCTGAGGAAAGCTGGGCTGAGTCCCTGGTGCAGAAAAGGCTGTGGAAAGCCAGGGAGATTTTATGTAATGCTCAGGCTTTACTCCATGTCTCCTGCTGCTTGTAGCGAGGGCATCTCCCTTTGGGTAGGAAAGCAAATTTTTAAAGTTGACATTTAGGCTTCAGAATATTTGTGATGGATTCAAATTAATTCTTTGAGCTTAAAAGTGTTAGGTTTCGCAAACTCTAAACTCCTATTTCTCACATTGGTTGCTTTTTAAATATTTTTAATCTGCTTTTCTATAGAAAATCCAATAATCTTCAGATGATTTTTTTTCCAAATTCATGCTTATAAAGAAAAAAAAAGAAATACTTCTTTTTTTCAGTACATTTTCCTTGTTCGACAGAATAATGTTTGCATAATGTACAATCCAGTCACAGTTATATATACTCTGAGAAGGGCATGTGTAGCTCATGCAAACCTAGTGTCACTTTTATGTGAAAATGAATGTGTGCACCTGAGTATATGTCTGTAAGTAATTGGCATAACCATTCTTTGGCTATTATGAGGAAAATTTGTAAAAATCTCCATAATTTTTCCCCCCAAGAACTGCTGGAAGGAACATTTCCTATAATTTCTATACAGCAGTGATTGTTACTAGTTATATTTTAATAGCTTTTTAGCATCAATGAATGGCACCAGTTAGTTCCATAGCTGCAGTCAAAATGAAATTGAAAGCTAACCATAAAAATAAAGAAAACTCTGAAGATCATTACAGACAACAATTTGAGAACCTCTACTAAGTGAAAATATTATTTCTGGAACTAAATTAAGAATGTTTACGGTGTCGCTGAACATAAAATCCCACAACATTGTGTTTAAGCAAAATGTCTGTTTCCTTTTTGGAAACACTTTGCTAAAAGCAGGGTTGGAAGAATCTTTCCAAACTAGTGAATAAAACTGTTTTAGGACTAACTTATCATGTGTTGGTGCCAGTCCGTGTGTATAAACTGTAGGCACTGACTGAAAGAACAGATGATTGAAGTGAAGCAATATTTAAAACCTGAGTTCAGCCTCCTAGAAATACCCCCTGCTCATATTTTGTATTTACAGCAATGGATGCACGTTACTAGGATGAGCCAAACCCACCGATTTGCATTTTCAACAGACTGCCACTGAAATTCAATACCTACTTTGTGTTATTTCAATGTGTAAAACCCTTCGGCACTCATCAGTCCCCGATCATGCTGAATTTCCACGTGGGTCGCTTACTATCCACGCTCCCAGGCGTGGTGCGGCTCGTGGTGTACCACGAGATGCCATGGGCACATCTCGCCCCTCCCCAGTGGCTCCTGCCCCTCATCCCAGGGATGCTGGCTGTGTCCTGCAACACAGACTGGGACCTGCCAAGAGGGCAATTTTACTTAAGCAAGAGAGTTGTCAGCAGCGTTGGGCACACATACAGTTCAGCATTTAAAACTTAATTTGCAAGTTAATTTAAGGGTGATTTCAAGATACGTAGAAAATGCAAATCAAACATGATACCTTGCCCAGATATTGTGAATAAATGAATCCTTTCTAAATTGTTAAAGCATTAGTGCTTATATCAGTATTTTGGGGTGCAAGAAGCTACTTACATTACTAGGAGTTATTCTGTTTCATCACAGTTTCTTTTCTGATGCCCATATTGATTTCTGTTCCCTCTGAAATTTCATGATCAAAGTTACCATCATCGTACCATCAACTCTGCATCTGGTGTGTAACACACGGAGGATTTATATGTACTTTGCCACTGACAACAGCCCTTTCTCTCTTTTTCTCTTTCTCTTTTCAGAATCAAGTTTTTTGTTGGGAAATGCCCAGATTGTGGACTGGCCCGTAGTTTATAGTAATGACGGTTTTTGTAAACTCTCTGGATATCATCGAGCTGACGTCATGCAGAAGAGTAGCACTTGCAGGTATGCCGACTGTCTGTTCATTGCCACTCGATGCACTTTTAAAATTATAATATACTGGGAAGAACAGTGAGGTTTTGGAAAAGGATTGATGTAAGAAAAGTGAGGTTTTTTGCAGAAATTAAAGTACTGAAACAGGCTTTAAATGAATGAATGAAACCAGCAACTTACTCAGGACACAGTAAAGGACTTTGAAATTTATCCTGGCTAGTATCAGTAAGAATGTGCTGTAGCTAATGAGCCAATAAAGAAAGTGGGGTTTTGTATATTTCAAATGCTTTTTTTGCTATATTTTTGTCAGTTCTCCTGATATCATGCCAGGAGGCGGTGAGCTATTCTGTAGCCCATGTTGGTCCCTGTTATTACGCATGCACACAGAGCACAGTAACGTGCAAGCTGCATCTTTATTCCCAAGAGAGTGATTAAGCTGATGATATATTTACTCTAAGCGTTGCAGCTTTATGGCTTTTTCCTTTTACTGGTGGTCTTTCAGGAGAGGGCAGCTGTGATTTATGGTTAGGCGTGCATCTGCGCCTTGTCTGCTGCATCCTTTAAAAGGAGATGCTTTGGGGAAAGACTAGATCCCTAATGCGTGTGCGTGTGTGTGTGTGTGTGTGTGCGTGAGCAAAGTGAACGAGGGACAGAGGCAATCAGGAGTGGCTGAGACACAACTTTGTGTGGGTTTTCCCTTTATGTGTTCAGGGAGTGACCAGCTCCAGGGCACTGGGAGGAGGGGGCTGCATATCTACAGAGATGATTTTTGGGAGACAGGTGCTGCCAGATGTTGCTCATCAGCTGGTGCTTCAGCTGGCAGGAGCAGGGCAGGCAGCAAGCCCCTCCTCGGATGTCAGTCATCACTTATTTCGATAAATGACACATACTGACGTGTGGTCACTGCCCTCATCTGCCAGGAAGCAGAGGAAGCCTTGGAGGGTCAGGGTTTCTCTGTGCAGCCAAGTGTCCTCTAATGAGCAATGGAGAAGAGATGGGCACGTGCTGCTGAAATGAAATATTCATTCACACGGTAGCAACTGGGTCGATATACTCAATGGGGCTGAAAGGAACAGCCTTATCGCAGCAGTCCTGGATATACATGCAAGCTTTCCTCTTTGCTCTCTGCTATCCTTTTTATTGAACTGTATATGTTTGCTGTGAGCACTTTTATAGTCTAGGCACATTAAGATAATTACAAATATAGAAAGGGATTGTAGGCAAATGTTGAGGAAGTGAAGGTTTAGCAGTACCTCTCTGATAAGATAATGACTCCCCTGTGTCTCAAATACAGAGGGGACGAAAAAGTTTGTTCCATCTGAATGCTTTTTTGTGAATGTGATGGGCTCTCGTTACCATTTGTAAGGATCCTGTTTTGACCTCCTTCAAGTATATGATACAAGTGATTCATACAGATGCAAATTCAAGGAAGAATTATTGTGGAAAATGGAATTGGTAGCAAAGATTTTTTTTTCTTTACTCTTCATTCTATACATCCGTCTCTGGATTTTGGAGAGCCTCTCCACACTCAAAGCATGGCCAGCCTGGGTCTTAGCTGGTGGAGTTATATATGCAGTGTAATATTTCCTGCTTCTTAGGAGACATCCCAGTCTTTGCAGATTAAGGGAGAGCTGGAGAGGATTTCAGCACGGTCTGACATGCAGCGTGTATCCTTCCAGAACAGTGTCTTTGGAGCTGTTCTTTAATGAAGAGCTGTGCAGCTGTATGGAGTGGAAAATAGTCTTGGAGGCCAAAGGTGCCTGCTTAGGCTTGCTCAGTAGGGTGTCATTGGAGGTTTTTTGATATCTGGGGGTATTATTTGTATTTTTTCCTGAGTCAGGCTCTCAGTCTGGCTTTGCTATGTTATGCCCACATTGTTACATTATACATAAAAATTGTTTTGTATATGTAATGTTTCCTTTATTGTTCTAAGGCAGGTGCTCTGGCATAAGAGTGCTGTGGAGCCACACCTTTATTGCAGGTTTTGGAATGGTCTGTTTTTACAGCTTCTTAGTGCCAAAAATCCAACCGAAGAAAAATACACAGATGCAAACAATGTAAATCTAGCTCCTGATTCAAATTCTTACTTGCTGATCGTGAGGATAAGAAAGGACAAAAATAATTTCTCAATATTGGGTGAGTTTGCCCCTGCCTGTAAGGTACTGTGTCCTCAACTCAGCTTTTACCCACACTTTTCTCCTGGGTAGTCCAGCAGGTACTCGCTATACCCTATTTCCGTCTGTCCCACTGCGTACCCTACTCTGGAGCAGCTCATATGTCGTCATTATGTTCAGTCTCATGCGATCTTGGCTGATTGTCATAGGGAGAGGCAGATGTACTGGAGGTGTGAGTGATTTTTGTTAGAGCTCCCGCAACGAGTTAGTCCTGTGGCAAGCTGGTAATCCCTTTGATTTTGCACTTCTCTCATCTTTTAATCAACAACAACGTGCCTGTTGGCAGGAAAATCACTCAGAAATACCTCAGTGCCAGACTCCCTTGTTTCATGTGTAGGCACAGTGTTCGTAGGGGTCAGGCTGCCTGAATATCGCATGATGAGAATTGGTGTGTGTGTTTTTTCTGGGTGTGCATGTCACCCAAAGTTGCACTTGTAGCTGGGGCGGATACAAAGAATAATTGGTGGGAGTGCTAAAATGCCCAGTATTTTTAGGTGGAAGAACTTGTGTGCTGGTGGAGCTTTGCTGTGACAAATCAAAATGAGCTGACAGTCCAGGAGGAACAGGGCACCAGCAATTGCAATGCCTCAAACCTTTAATTAGCCGTGCAAAAACCCTGCCTGGAGGTGCCCCAGCCAGCATGCAGAAAAACCACTTGTTCCATGCCCAGTGTCCCACAGTCACGACAATGTATGTCTTCATGAGTACGTTGAAAGAATAAACAGTTATAAAACATTAGACCCCAGTGTAATGTTGCGAGTAACATCAGTGTTTCCTAATATTGTTGCTGATCAGTTAAGCTCCGTATTCTCCGCCAGCCTTTGGCACAGCAGGCACGCATTGAGTGGCTGGTTAGCAGCCCTCCCCTGGCATTTCCCACCTGGCATTTGCTCCAGGCTTTGCTTTGCTTACCCTTCCTTGCACCCAAGAGATGTGCGCTGGGCTGGGAGTAGCTGGCTGCTGGTTTTGTTTTCAAAGAGGAATCCTGCTCTTAGGCCCTGTTTGTGTGTTGCCTTCCTGCCGTACGGGGGGAAGGAGAGTTGGATCTCCTTGCTGAAGTGGTTCTTTACAGGTTGTTTGCAGCGCTTCAGTTGGCATCTCTGCTCACCCTGGTTCTGATTTGCTGACATTTCAAGTGGGATTAAAAAAAGTCTGTGAGTGAAATCCTGGCTTCAGTGAAGCTAATGGCAAAATTCCCACTGCGCTCCAAGAAATGGGATTTTGCGTGGTGGGTACAGCATGCTGGACTTGAAGATAGTTAGATTTGGTACTGGGATGTCACCTTTGTGACCTGATTGTCATATGTGTGAGGAGACCTCCTTCACTGCCAAAGCTGTGCAAAGAAACCTTGCAGAGTGCGCCAGTGGGATCCAGGCAGATGCACTGTTTCTGCTTAGAAATGATGCCTGCTCTTTAACTCGCAGAGTTTTGAACCTATTGATGTGTATCTGTATTTGGTGTTCTTCCTGGACAGATGTTTGTTGTGATTGATGCCCTTTCATCCAGGCTTTTGGATAAGCAGAGCTGCAAATCTGGTGTAGAATCATATGCCTTCTGTGCTTCACCTGTCCTCTGTCCTGGATCATTCCTCCCAAAGAGCTGTTAAATACCACCTTGGTATGCCCTGCAGACCTGGAGCTGTTCTGATGCCACTGCCCTGGATCCTGACAAAAGACAGACAAGCACAATACAAAGCTTTATAAGGGCTTTACTGTGCCAAGGGATGCTTTCAAAGGGAGGCGGGAGCCCAGGCATCTTAAATGACACGTGGTCCTGTTTCAGAGATGGGGAAATGATCTAAGATTGTGCCTTTCTTGAGTGTTTCAGTAAGTCATGTTTCTCTTTGATAAGTCTGTTTTCTAGGTAGTAAGATTCCCAGTAGCAGGGTGGTTTTGATACTTATGTCTTGTACAGTTTGCACTGACGGCGCTCGACAAGCACTAAAATAACAAAAAACACGGGGCAGAAAAAGACAGAGTGATTGACTGAAGATGTAGGAGTGCCTCCATGCGTACAAAATAGGACAGACTAAATTAAATTAAACCTGTGATAAGCAAAAGTCTTACATAACTTATACAGTGAATGGCTTTGAATTTTCTTCAGTGCTGTTAAAAATCGCCTTCTGAAAAGTTTTTTATTATTCCACAAGACTTTAAAGTGTCTCTTTATGTGTGAAAATAATGTAAGATTTGATTATTACAGGTTTACTGCAATAATAAGATGCCTTTAATTTAAAACATAAAGTTGATTGATTGTATTCAGCAGTGCTAACTGGTATTGTCCGCCCCTCAGAATGCCAAGTACGATTGGTCATTTTAACACTAATTAACGATGACTTTCTGTATTATGAGCCATGTAAAGTCCAGCATTTTAACAAATTCTTGTTATTTTTTCCTTCAGGACTAAGAGAAATATTGTTTTAAATCTCAAGAAAATAATAATAATAAAAAAGATAATTAAATTGCACAACAGGCTGTGTGAAAACTACCGGCTCTTATTTTGTCTTACAAACAGGAGAGCAATCCACTTTACCTCATCACTGCATTAAAAAAGGCATAGATTTGAAAAAAAAAAGTCAAACTCTCTTTGTAGTCATCTCACCTATAAATGTAGCAAAGGTTGTCAGCTGAACTCAGGAAAGAAGGGCAGGTCATTTGAGAATGAGCACTAGGCTGTGTTTTGCGTTTCCTGAAGACAGCCGTGTACGTTAATGATCAGCAGCACCTTAATGAAGCCTTGTGCCTTGGCAAAACCATTTCCTGATGTCAGTCACCGTAGTGGCATCTTCGTTACGTTGCTGTCCCAAAGGTAACAGTTATGACGTGTCATTTATCAATAATTCTCCCTCTGTTACCGGTCAAGAAGTGCCTGTAGTGACATACAGATGTGGTTACATCTGCCTCCATCACCCATGCTGGGCAGCACCTTATTCTGGGAGCAGCCCCATTGCCTCCCTTGGTTGGCTGTGTAAAAAAAAAAAGATTTATGGTGTGGCCTTCATTGAGTATGTTAATGTTTGCCGAGTCGCTAACCACTATGCTGTTTTATTGTTTCTTTCAGAACAGTAGACATAAAATAAATGTTTATTGAACCTTTGGAGGTCTGTTGATCAATAGAAGATAAGCTGAACTGAAACCACAGAGGCACTGATAGCTTTTCTTTTCTCTTTCGTGTTCTCAGGGTTGTCTGTTGTAGGTTTCAGCTGAAGCTCAAACTGTTTGTGGACAAAGAAAATGGAAAAAAAAAGTCTGATCAGTTAAAAGTGTATTAATCCACATGTCTGAAAGCTTTTATCACGTGTTCCATTTTCCTTCAGTTCTATAATTAGGAATTCGCACAGAGTGGTCTTTGCTAATTTTTAATCCAGGGAAGAATGACAATAAAAGCCTATCTGTTTCCTTACAAAGGCTTTCAAAAGTAAGGTCAGGGGGTTGGGTTTGCTTAGAGCAGCTGAAAGTCTGACCTGGAAAAGAATGCAAAGATGAGATGGTCAAGTAGCAAGAAACAGCAGAATTTAAAGTACATTTTTATATTCTCAGTCTGGAGAGGGATGAGTCTCCAAAAGCATTTTAATATTTTGCACTCAAATCTTACAGAAATACAGTATACAGTAAGGAACATGAGGGTGGATTTGGTTATGTTTGGTAGTAGTGTAGACGTAGCTACACTGAAACAACTCATACGGTTACTTTCTGTGCTGAATTTTCAGAGAGTTACAGTCATCACTCGTTATTGGTTAAATCCACCTTCCTTTTGTGATCAGTGTTTAGTTAAAAGGATTCCAATTGTCTTATTATCCCAGATGCATCTTGACAAGGTAAGACTTGCAGCCATCGATTCAGCCAACAGCCTTCACCTGTAGTAGCTTCCATTCCTCCTGCAGAAGCCTTCTCAAGAGGATTGAACAAAATTTGGGATGTTTTAGAGGTTTTGTTCAGTTTTCTCTGTTTTGACAGCAGTATTCTCATGGCCCGCAGCTGTGACAATAACGGTTTTATAGGCTATCAGCTCTCTTTCTAACCATATATCCTTAAAGATATTCTCAGAAAAGCACTTAATGAAACATTACAGTAGATTTATTTGCTGTCATTTACAGTAAAAAGGTGGCTGTGGTTACTCACTATTGTAGATTTCCTTGTGACACCCTAAATATTTGAATGAAGTGTAAATCATAATTAAACTTCCGTAAATGACAATAGTAATCTCCAATGCCTATGCCTTTTAAGATGACTCTAATAAAGTTGTTGCTTGTCCAGCAAAAAGATAAACGTTTTTTCTTTTTCAGTTTTATGTATGGTGAACTGACAGACAAGAAGACCATTGAAAAAGTCAGACAGACTTTCGACAACTATGAGTCAAACTGCTTTGAGATTCTCCTCTACAAGAAAAACAGTATGTATATACTTGTGTATGGTGTTGGGAGTGATAATGCATATTTAAAGTATATAATAGGCTAAAATTTTCATTTTGACATATGGGTAAATTTGGAGCAAGATTTGGAGAAGAAACAGTATTTTGGTCGCCACAGCTCAAGAAAAGAGCTTTTTTTTCAGGGCAAGTGTGCGGTTTGCCAAGAATAGTTGTTCCCTGCTGTCTCTAGTCTGACTCCTTATTTCCAAAACTTATTTAGTTTTGAGGATTGTTTCCCTGAGGGAAAGTAACTGGGTTAAGTGAAAAGAAATCCTAGATGAGGTTCCCCCACATCCCTCAGGAAACACCCCCATGTCTCCGCAAGTGAGAACCCAGACCCTGGCTGCCGTGAGCGGATGCTCCCGGCAGTGCCTCTGTGGTGTGTAAACCATCACGTAGGAGCTCTAGTCAGAATCCTAAATTTGGTACATAACCCAGGGATTAATTAGAAAACCAGGGAATTTTGTAACTTAATGAGACATAGGACCTAAGTCCCTTCCTCTTGGTGTCATTGGGTTTACAGGAGGTTGCCAGAACCAGGGAAGATTTTCTTTGGTTTGTCTTAACCATGAGTCACTCCAGTCATATTTTCTGTCCTGCCACATATGTGGGTAGTACTTCTGGCTTATCAACTTTATAGCACATACTAAGCAAAACCTGCACTGTTGTGTGGTCTCATGCTGGGGTAGTTCGGTGTGGACATCTTTCCTGGGCTGGTGGT